CCCCCCCCCCACACACACACACACCAAACATATCCTGTGCTAGCACTAACTGGTCATCAGGGCTGCCCTCAAGAAAATGAGGCGCTTCCTCTTTGCCCTGCCTGGCCTCTGCCTGCTCTGGGCTCCTTCCCTGAACTTCTACTCCAGAAGCAGAAGATATATCTATTTAAATCCGCTTGTCAATGCAGCAAGGAAGTGGTCTGGAATGGGAATGACCAGGAGCCACGAGGCTGCCCAAAGTTACACCGCCTTCCTTCTGAAAACCGACATTTCATTTCCTCCCACGCAGACCAGTTGCCTCTCTCCACAACAAACAGGGCAGCCTGCTTCCACTTACCGTGAAGTCCCTCTTGATGGCAAAGTTTTCGGGCTTGACATCACAGAGGTGGAGGCGGTGGGAGAAGTCACTGTCGAAATGGCGCACCATATCCAGGAAGCTGAGAGCGATGTGGCTAATAGCCTGTGCCTGGCCAGCTTCACCCACCGGGAAGAGAGCCCTGTGGTGAGGGCTACCGGCAGCCAAGTACTCCACTGCGTAAAAGTGGCCACAGGAACCCAGGACCGGTAGGATGTGGCGGCTCAGATCTGGCAGCAGACTAAAGTACACATATTCCTCTTGCTGGAGCAGCGACCACGCACTGGCCAGCTGTTGCCGCCAGCGAGGGCCCTGCCTGGCGGGCCACAGAGGAACTATGCTATTGTTGGGCAGCTCCAAACCTAGGGTGTTCTTCACTTCGCCAGCCACCATCAGGAGCAGCTCAGCATCGGGGATGCCCGGAGCACCTGGCCCCGCTTCCTCCCCCAGCAGGTTGAGGGGTGGGAAGCTGGAGAAAGCCTCCCTCTTGGATTTGAGGACCACAGTTCGGCCTCTCCACTGGGCCTGCAGCACCTTCTTGCCACGCTCGTAGTACAGGCAGCGTTGATACAGCAGTTCCCCGGCCACGCACAGGTCCTCACACAGCGCACCCGTGAGCCAGCCGCCGCGGTAGTCCTGGCACTGGAACGAAGGGAACAGTGGGTCACAACAGGGCAGGGATAAGAGGCAAGGGACAACACAGTTTGGCATCCTGTACTCAAAGGCTTTGCCATTAGGTGAGGGGAGAAACTGCCCAGATGAGAATGCTGGCCGTCCCTAGGCGGTGGGTTCCACAACCTCCTGGACCTGTGAGCTCCCCAGCCAAGCCTCTACTAGAAATTCTGGGTAGGTACTGTACCCCCAGAACACGTAGAGACTATTTCATCTGCCATCACTCCTCTACAATAGTTCGAGGACTTTGCAGTGGGCATCATAAGAAACACAGAGGTGGTCCAAAGCCTGGGGAGAGATGGGCATAGGTACTATACAGACGCTCGGCTGTCATAGAAGGGACCACAACCCTTGGGTTGAGTGCTGGTACCCAGTGAGGTTCCAGAACGACTTCCCCGCGACCCTGATTTGGTGACGGTTAGGGAGGCTCTCAGGATGATTATGCCACTAGACAGAGTTGAGGACCTGGCTTCAAAACCACACATCTAGAAACCAAGGGCTCAGATATGTCAGCTTGCCCTCCCATAGACGGACACATGGTCAGATAGATGGACGCACGGTCAGATACGTCAGCGTGCCCTCTCATAGATGGATGTACAGTCAGATACGTCAGCGTGCCCTCTCATAGATGGATGTACAGTCAGATACGTCAACGTGCCCTCTCATAGATGGACAGGCTGTTTCACGTTAGTCAGCTCTGCTGCTCCTGAGTCAATTATAAGATGTGCCTGAAAGTCGAGAAAATAAACTTCGGGTGCTCAGACACAAATAACGTCAAAACCAAAAACTGTCTGGAAACCACAAGCATTCGTGACTCATCTGGCCACGTGTGGTGTCAAGCTAGGCTAAGATGAAGCATACACAGTTCCTGTTTAACTCTGCGACTGTGCTCATCCGCCTAAGAATTCCTGGTGGCCGCTGCTGCCCCATCTCTGTAGCAGGCAAACAATGTGAGTTCCAAACTGGAACCCCCAGAAGTCGGTAAGAAATTGTGGACATTTATGAATACTAAAGACAAAGTGTTTGAATGCCTGTTAACAAAGAACACACCTGTGCTTCAGTGCCTGATTTGTGAGGCCACTTTAAGACAGTAACTTCACAACTGCCCAAAATCCTGAAACCTCAAGGAAGGTCTGAACTGCCCCTTCCCACTGGCTTCCTGCTGAGGGGTCCTCTTGCAATGGGGGCCTTTAGAACTCTCTAGACCACAGAGACCAAGGCTCACACTAGTCAGACACCAGATTACGAGACTTCGTGTACCAGAGTTCTGTAGATAGAAAGTCTGGATTCCGGGACTTGGAGAGGTGGCTCAGCCGTCCATCATGTTGTTCTTGCCGAGGACCAGGGTTCAGTCTCTAGAACCCACATAGTGCCTCACAACCATCTTCAGTTCTGACTCATCAGGCATACATGGGGTGTGCACACATAGATACAGTCAATGCTCAAATACATGAAATAAAATAAATAAAAATTTAAAACAGAAAAAAGTGCTGGACATGATCTCCCAGCTAGAGAATGGCACCGTATGCCCAGAGTTTTGGTGAAGGTGGTGGTGGTGGTGGTGGTGGTGGTGGTGGTGGTGGAGGAGGAGGTGGTGGTGGTGGTGGAGGAGGTGGTGGTG